CAGTGTATAAGTGTTCCAGTCTCTCCACAACCTCTCCAACATTTCTTATTTTGTGTTTTTTGGATTAATGCTAGCCTTGTTGGGGTGAGATGGTATCTCGTTGTAGTTTTGATTTGTGTTTCTCTAATGGCTAATGATTGTGAGCATTTCCTCATGTGTCTGTTAGCCACCTAAATATCTTCTTTGGCAAAGTGCCTGCTCACATCCTTTGCCCATTTTTTAATTGGGTTGTTTGTCTTTTCGTTGTTGGGGTTTTGCAGTATCTTGTGGATCTCAGAGATGAGATGCTGATCAGATTTGTTGTAGCCAAAAATTTTTCCTAGTCTGTAGGTTGCCTTTTTAGTCTTTTGGTGAAGTCTTTTGATAAGCGTAAGTTTGATTTTTAGGAGCTCCCAGTTATCTAGTTTCTATTCTGGTGTCTGTGCATTGTTACTTATGGTTTGTATTCTGTTTATGCCATGTATTAGGGCTCCTAGCATTGTCCCTATTTTCCTTCCATGATCTTTATAATTTTTGATTTGATATTTAGGTCTTTGATGCATTTTGAGTTAGTTTTTGTGCACGGTGTGAGGTATGGGTCTTGTTTCAGTGTTTTGCAATGGATAGCCAGTTATGCTGGCACTATTTGTTAAAGAGACTGTCTTTTCCCCAATTAACAGGCTTTGGGCCTTTGTCAAATATCAGCTGCTCATAGGTGGATGAATTTATGTCTGGATTCTCAATTCTGTTCCATTGATCTATGTATGTATTAGACTGTTTTGACTACCGTGGTGGTATAATAGGTTCTAAAATCAGGTAGCGTGAGGCCTCCCACTTTGTTTTTCTTTTTGAGTAATGCTTTACTTACCCAGGGCCTCTTCCCTTTCCATATGAAGTTGGTGATTTGTTTCTCCATCTCATTAAAAAATGCCATTGGAATATGAACTGGGATTGCACTGTATCTGTAGATCGCTTTGGGTAGAACTGACATTTTCACAATGTTGAGTCTTTCCATCCATGAGCAAGGTATGTTTTTCCACTTACAGAGGTCTGTTTTGGTTTCTTGCAGTAGTGTCTTGTAGTTTTCATCATACAGGTCTTTTACATCTCTGGTTAGATTTATTCCTAAGTATTTTGTCTTCTTGGGGGCTATTGTAAATGGTATTGATTTGGTGATTTCCTCTTGGAAGTTCTCTTTGTTGGTGTAAAGGAATCCAACTGATTTTTGTATGTTTATCTTGTATCCTGATATTTGCTGAAATCTTCTATTAGTTCCAGTAGTTTTCTTGTAGATTCTTCAGGGTTTTCTGTGTATAAGATCATATCACTGGCAAATAGAGATACTCTGACTTCTTCCTTACCAATTTAGATGGCCTTTATTTCTTTTTTTAGCCTAACTGCTCTGGTTAGGACTTCCAGCACAATGTTGAATAAGAGTGGTGACAGAGGGCATCCTTGTCTGGTTCCCGTCCTCAAGGGGAATGCTTTCAAACTCTTGGAGAAAGAATTCTTTACAACCAAACACACCCCTGGTATAATCAAGTGTTACAGATAAAGTAGTAATGTTATAAGTAGTAGTAATAATACTAAAAAAAATAAACTAGTAATAGAAATAAGTATTATTTACCAGGCTCCTTTTTTACTGACCATTCATATTTAGCTATAGAAATTGAAAATTTATTTACTATAAAATAAAACAGTACTCTTCATAAGATTTATGGGGTAAGGAATTTAACTTTTCCCTGTTTTTTTTCCCTAGTTTCCTGAGAGATAACCTCTAAAATCATGTGTTGTGTGACGGATCGCATTTATATGGCCTTTCTTGCCATGGTCTTGTCTGCCACCAAATGACTGGGTGTAATAAGGTGCCTGTGGCCCACCAAGGGGTTTGGGTAACTTGTTAACAATGCAAATAAGGCGTATGGAACTCTAACAAGGGAATTGGTCAATTTTGCCATCCTGCTAGGCTTAAAGGGAGACACCGAGACAGAGAGAGAGAGAGAGAGAGTGAGAGGAGCTGTAACAAGGAAGACAGCGAGAGACGGCATCACGAGATGGCGTCATGAGACGGCAGGAATCAGGAGACGGGTGAGAGATGGCTGCAGTGGGGTTTGCTGACCCACTGAGCTAGGAGATGTAACACTTGCCCAGAAAGGCCTCCAGCTGGGGCCTTGATGTTGCCCGGCAGCAGAGGGCGAGAAGCTGTCCTGATCGAGGAACTGCATTCTGAGCTGTGTTCCTATTACTTCCAAGTTGATCTGATCCCGAGTTGTACTCTGATACCTCCCTAATAAACCACATTAACTTTAAGTATGGTTCATTAAGTTTTGTGAGATGTTGCAGAAAATTAACAAACCCAAAGACAGGAGGGAGAGTACCGAGGGAAGGGGTACAGTGATGTTAGAGATGATGGAGTGGCGCAGCAGTGAGGAAAAGTCGGACATTTGGAACATTTGTAACTTCCGCCTCAGAGGAACCAGCTTTGTGCTGATCGTTATAAAAGAAGTTACTCATTTACTGTAGAATTTCCCCAGTGACTGAAGTGTCTTTGATGAGGCCTCCAGACAATGCCTGAGGGTTTATGCTAATGAGGAGTCTCTTGGGTCAGGGTTGGCCAGGCCAGAAAGATCCACCAAGTGGTGTCAGCCAGAGTCCACGGGAGGGGGCTGAAGGTTGAGTTCAATCAATCAAGCCTTTATAATGAGGTTCTAATAAAGGCTCTGGACACCGAGGCTCCATGGGCTTCCTGGTTGGTGAAAGACATTGATGAATGTGGGAGGGTGCTGTCCCTTTATGGGACATGGAGGCTCCACTCTGGGAACATTCCCATACCTCGTCTATGCATCTCTTCATCTGTATCCTTTTTGCTATAATAAACTATGATCCTAAGTGCGATGCTTTGTGTGAGTTTTGTGAGCTAGTCAAGTGAATTACTGAACCTGAGGGAGCAGTAAGAGCCAGCAGGTCACAAGTGAGGGTGTCGTGTGAACCTCTAAGCTTGCAGCTGCAAGCTAAAGTCCTGGGCAGACTTTCTAGTCTGGAGGACTGTGCCCTTTAACTTGAGATCTGCCCTAGCTCTGGTGGTAAGGGTCAGAGGAAGAAGCACGGCATGATGCAGCTGGTATCAGAATTGAATGGGCATGAAATAGATGGCCACCGATTGATCTAAATATATTTCAAAGTATCCCAAAGAAGCAAACAGTTTAGTAATTTTTTGAACTATTTCCTAGTAATCAGTACTCAGACTAAAAAAAAAGGTTCAGATTTCCAAGCCTTTACTTTGAACACATTTCTAATGAATGGATACCCTTGCCTTCTCACCTCCTGGTTGAACAGTGTCATCTTCCTGAAGACACAGGCAGTGTTTCCTTCTTCTGAGTGGCAGGTGACTTGGTAGCACCCATAGGATGAACTTCCTGTGGGTTCTGGCCAATACTGGTGACACTTAACCTGACATCAACAGATTAAAAAAAAATAAACACACACACGCGTATATAGATATATACATGGATTTATGTTCACTAAATTTTTAAATGTTTTCATTTTTAAGAACTTTCAGACTTACCGAAAAGTTGTAAGAATAAATGAATAAATTATTGCAAGAATAAATATAAATGAATTCTCATTTACCTTTCACCTAGATTTGCCAACAATCAATAGTTTTTCTTTGTCACTTTTTTTCCTTTGTAATAATAAACAATCTGGATATATTTTGAGACTGTAAATATCCTGTTTCCACCCAGTGTTTTACCATTCATGATTAATTTTTGCCTGAATCAATTACTACTGTGAGGGTTGAAAAAATGGTGCACTGATTTTGATATTTCCTAGATTTAAGTTAACAATGAGGTTAAAAAATCTGCAACTAAAATGCTAAACTTAATGCATTTATTTTCATAATTAAGATTTTTAACAGCGTTACTGAGATATAATTCACATATCATACAATGCACCGATTTAACGTATACAATAAAAAAACAAAACAAACGTGTTGCTGTCAATTCAATTCCAATTCAATCCACCAAAAAACTTGTAGGTAAATGTTCCTAGCAGCATTATTCATAATAGCTAAAAGGTGGAAACAACCCAAATGTCCATCTACTGACGAATGGACAGAAAAAAAATGGTATATCTAGGCAATAGGATACTATCTGGAAATAAAAAGAAATTAAGTACTGATAGACGCTACAACATGGATGAAGCTTGAAAATACCATGCTAAGTAAAAGAAGCCAGTTACAAAAAAAACACATACATTTTATGATTCCGTTGATATGAAATGTCCAGAATAGGCAAATCCAGAGAGACAGAAAGTAGATTAATGTTGACTAGGGCCAAGGGGGGCACTTTTGGGGGAATTAAGGAGTTACTGTTAATGGGTACAGGTTGCTTTTTGAAGCAATAACATGTTCTAAAGTTGATTTTGTTGATGTCTGTGAAATTCTGTTAATGACCTAAAAATAACTGAATTATACATTTAAGAAAACAAAGTATAAAATAGTTTTTTGTATATATGCAGAGTTGCGTAAACATCACCACAATCACTTTTAGAACATTTTCATCACTCCTAAAGGAAGCCCTCACCCATTAGTAGTCACTCTGCATTCCCCCTCCTCTGCTCTTCTGGCCCTAGGCAACCACTAATCTACTTTCTGTCTCTGTAAGTTTGCCTATTCTGGACATTTCATATCAATGGAATAAATATTTGATCTCTTGTGACTGGCTTCTTTCAATGGGCATAATGTTTTCAAGGTTCATCCATGTGGTAGCATGTTATCAGTCCTTGATTCATTTTTATTTTATTTATTATTGCCAAATACTATTCAATTGTGTGAATATACCACATTTTATTTACCCATCCGGGTTGTCTCCACTTTTGGGGTATTATGAATAATGCTGCTACGAACATTTATCTGCAAGTATTTGTGTGGCTCTATGTTTTCAATTCTCTTGGGTATGTGCTGTTGTTGTTGTTAGGTGCTGTGGGGTCGGTTCTGACTCACAGCGACCCTATCGACAATAGGTATCTTGGGTATAGCTAGGGGGAATTGCTAGGTTATATGTTAACTCTATGCTTAACGTTTTGAGGAAATGCAAGAGTGCCTTCCAAAGTAGCTGCACCTTTATAACCCTACCAGCAGTGTATGAGTGTTCCAGTGTCTCCATATCATTGCTAACACTGGTTTTTATCTGTCCTTTTTATATCAACCATCCTACTAGGCATTAAGTGGTTTCTCTTGGTTTTGATTTGCATTTCCCTGATGGCGAAATGATGCTGAGCATTTTTCATGTGCTTACTGGCCATTTGTGTATCTTCTTTGGAGAAATGTCTATTGAAATCCTTTGCCCATCTTTCATTTTTTGAGTCATTTTGTTGTTAAGCTCTAAGAGTTCTTTATATATTCTAGATGTAAGACCCTTATCAGATATATGTTGATTTATTTAAATAATAATGGCTGACACATCACATTTATTATGTATTAGTAACAACTTCAGGCACTTGGCCATGATGATTTTAATTATGACAATACAAGAAACCAAGTTTAAAGCTTATCAAAAAGACTAAATCAATTTGAATATGTGGACTATATATGCCACGTAATTTGAGAAGAGCCCAAGCAATGCGTAAGATTCAAGTTTAACTTACTCTGCCACGTTCAACTTGTGTGGTCAACATTACAACCATGGAGGAGCCTTGTTCCCAAGTCATCTGCCAAAAATCTGTACAAGTGTTCGGTAATGGCCCTTGACAAGCGATGTACTGATTGATAATACTGGAAGAAGGAATTTCCATCTAAAAAGAAAAGGACATAAATACAATCTTTCGCACTGTTGCTGTATTACTGGGATCAGGCATATGAAAACATCCACAACATGATTATTAATCGGATACAACTAGTCTCAATCAACTGCAAAGTCAGTCAAACAAATTGTTATCAACAATATCTTATTTTATATGTAGAGAAAACTTCTTGGCACTGTCTCATAGTATACATATTTATCTTTCAATTAGTAAAAACAGGAATTTAACTATTTTCCAAAACATGAACCTATCATAGTTTTAAAAGTAGTTTTACAGAGAACTCGGTTTCAGTCAGGCAGATATCTGGTACAGAAATAAGAAATATTTACCTGTAACAGTTTATTAGCAAAATTTGTGAGGAGCAAAAATTCTGCCATTTATTTTAGTTTGGATTTTACATATAAAATAACTCTGAAGGATATTAAAATAATATTTTAAATTAATTATTTTTGGAAACAAGTAAGATAATGAATATTTGAAGAAGATGAATTGTTTATCTGATGATTTCTGAGGTTGATAATTTTTAAAAAGGTGATGCATGTGAATGGAAATTCAAGGAATATCAAAGGGTGAATAGAGAATCATTTATTCTTATTTATTTATAGTTTCTTATATACCCTTTAGAAATGATCTACACATAACACATAATATACATGCAAGACTATCTATTTTTCCGTAAAACATAAATGGCAGCATACTTTTCTGCACCTTTTATTTTTTTCACTTTATTTTTGATGTCATGTTGAGTAACTACATAAAACTTCATTTTTAAAAATGGCTCTACTGTAGGAATATACCATCATTTATTTAACAGACGTTTAAGCTGCTGCTAGTCTATTTGCTGTACCATAAACAAGGCCTCACTGAATCCTTTTGTTAACATACCACCTCTGTCATATTCAGAAGTACATCCGCATGGGCCACAGGAAGAGATGAGAATGCTAGATCGAAGTCAATGTGCATTTAACATTTTTATAGATACTGCCGACTTGCTCTCCAGAGGTTACACCCATTTACACCTCCAGCAATAATGCCTGAGGAATGCTCATTTCCCCATATACTCAGATATTTATAATCTCTTATCTGCAGTTCTGAAACCGAAGGCTTTCTCTTTATTTGTAAACCTGACCTGACCTGGACTCACCTGACAGCAAACTTTGACCAGAACGGATCTAACACCGTTTATGTCTTTATTTGTCCCACTTAATGGGAATATCCATAGTTTGTTGTACAATATTAATATATTGATTACAAGCCACTGTCCCACAGCCTGCAAGGGATGTTACTTATGATGGTATATAGTATGCCTTAGTCATCTAATGCTGCTATAACAGAAATACCACAAGTGGATGGCTTTAACAAAGAGAAATTTATTTTCTCACAGTGTAGTAGGCTAGAAGTCCAAATTCAGGGCATAAGCTTCAGGGGAAGGCTTTCTCTCTCTGTCGGCTCTGGAGGAAGGTCTTTGTCAGCAGTTTTCCCCATGGACTAGGAACTTCTCTGCGCAGGGACCCTGGGTCCAAAGGATGCCCTCTGCTCCCAGCACTGCTCTCTTAATGGTATGATGTCCCCTACTCTCTGCTTGCTTCCCTTTCCTTTTATCTCTTGTAAGACAAAAGGTGATGCAGGCCACACCCTAGGGAAACTTCCTTTACAATGGATCAGGGATGTGACCTTAGTAAGGGTGTTACAACCCCACCCTAATCCTCTTTAACATAAAACTACAATCACAAAATGGAGGACAACCACACAATACTGGCAATCCTGGCTTAAACCAATCATGGTGGCTTAATTCTGGGGGACACAATTCAATTCATGACATAGTATATGCACTGAATAACCTTCTTTAAAATACGAAAAATGCTGCTCCCAAAGCACACTTAACCCCAAGGTCTAAAATAAGGTCTTGTGGACTTGTACACGGTGTTATCAAACTTTTTCATCTCTTAATCTGACAGGTGAAAAACGGTAATGCCTTACAGTTCTGATTTGTACTTCTTTTTGTGAATTAGGTGGAGTGCATCTTTCATTTAAATGTGCTCGTTATCGTTATTTTTATAAATGTATTGTAACTTGGCTAAAAATAATAAAAAATGTACTTTATGAGAGGTACATACTAAAACATTTACAAATGAAGTGATATGACATGTGGGCTTTTAAAAAAATAACACAAGGGGGTAGTGTTTAGATGAAATAAGATTGACCACTTGTTGACAGCTGTTGACCTGGGTGACAGACAGGTTTATTGGGGTTCTCCAACTACTCTCTCTACCTTTGTATAGATTTGAAAATGGCCATAAAAATGTTTATAAAAATGTTATTTGTATTTCCTTCTCTATGAATTGTCTTTGCATGTCCTTTATGCATTTTTTCATTGGGCCGGCTTTACTTTTCTTACTCATTTTTGGACCTCTCTGTACACTGAAAAATGCCAGCAGGGTCACTCATGGTGGAGAGGTTTCAGTGGAGCTTCCAAACTAAGACAGATTAGAAGGAGGATCTGGCGATCTACTTTTAAAAAAACTGGCCAGTGAAAACTTTATAAGTAGAAGTGAAATATTGTCTGGTATAGCGCCAGAAGACGAGCCCCTCAGGTTAGAAGGCACTCAGAACACTAACGGGGAAGAGTTGCCTCCTCAAAGTAGTTGATGTTAGGTGCCATCGAGTTGGTGCCAACTCAGAGTGACCCCATGTACAACAGAACAAAACACTGCCCAGTCCTGCACCATCCTCACAATCGTTGCTATGTTTGAGCCCATTGTTGCAGCCACTGTGTCAATCCATCTCGCTGATGGATTACCAAAAGCATGATGTCCTTCTCCAGGACTGATCCCTCCTGACAACATGTCCAAAGCATGTAAGATGTAGTCTCACCATCCTTGCTTCTAAGGAGCACTCTGGATGTACTTCTTCCAAGACAGATTTGTTCGTTCTTCTGGCAGTCCATGGTATATTCAATACTCTTTGTCAACATCACAATTCAAAGGCTTCAATTCTTGTTCGGTCTTCCTTATTCATTGTCCAGCTTTTGCATGCATATGATGCAACTGAAAATACCATGGCTTGGGTCAGGCGCACCTTAGTCTTCAAGGTGACGTCTTTGCTTTTCAACACTTTAAAGAGGTCTTTTGCAGCAAATTTGCCCAATGCAATGCGTCTTTTTATTTTTTTATTTTTATTTTTTTCCATACAAAAATTTATACATACATTGTTATGTGACTCTAATTGCTCTCCCCATACTGTGACAGCACACTCCTCCTTTCCACCCAACTCCCCTTGTCCATTCAACCAGCTCCTAACCCTCTCTGCCTTCCCATCTCACCTCCGGACAGAAGCTGCCCGTTTAGTCTCCAAAATATTTGAGCTAAGCGGCACACAACTCAGGAGTATCACTTTATGTCCCACAGTCCAGTCCAGTCCCTGTCTGAAGAGTTGGCCTCGGAAATTGTTTTAGTTCTGGGCTGATAGAGAATCCAGGGGCCATGCTTTCCAGGGT